TTGCGCCGACGTTTCGCAAACATTGCAGTCTGCATCTTCAGGGCTATGAGCTCCGATTCTGAGCTCCGATGTCTAGGGGTAGTCCTTATATGCCTTCCCTTGTGGTCGTGTGGGAAGGGGCAGGGGGTGTAGGATTCGAGGTGGTGGTTGTTCGGGAAGGTATCGAATCACTACGCGAGGCAATGTTGCTAAACTGATTAGTTTATTATCGGTATGAATGTATGTACATGAGTCGTAATGAATATATATATACAGATGAGGTGGAGATGTCCACCGATCGGCGAGAGCCGGACGACTAATTCCTGCTAGCGGGGGAGCGATTGCGACACCTGAGACGTGCGTGTGTTCCTCAGGTGTGTGTGTATGAGAGCGGTGCGATACGCGTCCCAGTGTGGATGTAGCGAGGCGCTACAGGAGGGGGGGTGGTCAGCCAATCATATGTTTTTACTTGATCAGCTGGTCAATTAAAAAACCGGGAGGACTGTTTTCCAAATGAGGTTCACTTGATATCATCTGTCCCTGTTGAGGTTGTTAGGGTTTTTCTGAATCTCCAAACCCTCTCGGTATTTCCTGTCGAAATACCCTTGAGATTTGGCCAACATTCTGGCTTGGTCGTACTGAATAGTATGTCCAGTGTCCATCCAGTGTTCAACCAGGGCAGACTGTTCTAGGTGACCGTATTTGGAGCACCGCCAGTGTTCCTTGATCCGTGTACTGATCTTCCTCCCGGTTTCTTCAATGTACACTTTCTCGCATGAGCAGGGGATCTCGTACACTCCTGGTGTACTCAGAGGTGGTCTTGGATCCTTTGCACTTGGCAGCATCTGTCCGATCTTCTTTGGAGGCTGGAAGATCGTTCGAATGTTATGTTTGCCAAGTACTCTACTTATGCGTTCTGTTGTGCCTCTCAGATAGGGGAGGAGGGCCACTTTTGGTCTTTCCTGGTTTTCCTCAGGATTAGTCTCCTCTTCGGGAGATGAGAGCTTGCTCTGTAGCTTCTGCTTGACCTTCCGAATTTGTTGGATGTTATATCCATTCTTGGTTAGAGCTATCTCAGGATGTTCAACTTCACTGTCAACGTTGGAGGGTTGAGAGATTGTGAGTGCTCTATACATTAGGGAGCTAATAACGGAATTCTTCTGGGAGGGGAGGTGATGAGAGGTAGCATTAAGATACCTATCTGTGTGGGTTGGCTTGCGATATACTTGGTGGCCTAGAGTGCCATCTTCGTTGCGTCGAACCAGGACATCTAGGAATGGAAGACATCTATCTTGTTCAACTTCCATAGTGAACTTGATGCTCACGTGCTGAGTATTCAAGAACTCCAGGAATTGAGTTAGAGCAGTCTTTCCATGTGGCCAGATGACAAAGGTATCGTCCACATACCTGAACCATACAGTAGGTTTCTGAGGTGCTGACTTCAATACTTCGTTCTCGAAGTGTTCCATGAATATATTTGCAATAATCGGGGAAATGGGAGAACCCATTGCCGCTCCCGATTTCTACTCATAGTACTCCTTCGAACTGAAAGTATGTAGAAGTCAAGCAATGCTCAATCAGGGGAAGGAATTGGGAAGAGATGTTTTTGGATTTCTTGATGATTTCCAAGGTTTCTGGGATTGGAACGTTAGTGAAGAGTGATTCTACATCAAAACTCACTAGGACATCATCTGCAGAAGTCCGGAGATTTCTCAGTTTGTTGACGAAATCCAGTGAGTTCTGAATGTATGAACCATTCAGGCCAGTCAACTTTTGGAGTGGTTTCGTGAGAAACTTGGCCAGCTGGTAAGTTGGCGCTCCAATGTTGCTGACAATGGGACGGAGAGGAACAGACTCTTTATGGATTTTGAGGAGTCCATAGAGTCTAGGAGGAAAGGACTTTTTAGGGGTGAGGAATTTCGTCAGGTCAGTCGAGAAACCAGTCTTGGCACGTCGTGGCACGACGAGACCTGTGCGAGTGGCAAGGGGAGTGTACCAGGGGGATACAGTAAGTGCTCTGCTGTTCATTCTGATGACTGCCGGTATTCTGGACATTTTGAAGAGGAATTGGGGGATAAATGCTGTTACGAAGGGTAAGCACATGGTTCTAGCATTCATGGATGACATCAAGTGTCATGCTCAGTCCCAGGAGGGGATAGATGTCATCACTAGAGTGTTGATTGATGCTGCTAAGGAGATGGGTCTCAGTCTCAATAACACCAAGTGTGGAGTATTTGCAGTGCGGCCAGGAGAAGAGCATCGAGGTCAAGAACAGCAGCCGGGAGGTAGGGATGAGGTTGAAGAGCTGAGGAATGAGGCGGTGCAGGATGAGGAGCTGTTTCTCCCGGAGATTAGGGAGGGATACAAGTACCTGGGTATAACTCAGTTGGAGCGGGACACGGGGGGAACGAGGTGGTTGTTGAAGAGATGGTGCTGGAGGAGACACGAGCCATTTTGACATCGAGATTGGCAGTACCTCAGAAGATCCACTTGTTTAATACCTCAGTTGTGCCCGCAGCAACATACATCCTGGGAAATCTCTACCCGGATGAGCAGCGACGAACATCTCTGCTGAAGTGCAGCGGGCTGGACACTGCCGTCAGGAAGATCCTTGTGGAGGAGGGCCTGAAGGGGTACTCTACCACAACGGCAGGAGTTTATCTGGCTTCCGACTGGGGATTGGCGAAGGTACAATTTGGTCGGCTGGCTAGTAAGGGGTGGAGGAATCCGATAACGGATGCTAGGCGCATTCTGGTCAAGTACGGAGTGGAGATCCCACCTAAGATAACTGGCAATGAAGAATTGGGACCTGAAGCGGTCATGTCTGTGTGTAGGAGGGCAGCTAAGGGGATTGAAGCGAAGCAGGAGGAATGCTACTTGTATCGAAGGATGAAGAGTCTAGCGTATGCTAGAACCCTGGCCAATTTGAAGAAGGATGGGAAGGGTGTGTGTTGTCCCGTGTTGAGGTCACGGCAGCTAGAAGTCTGGGCAGTTAAGATCCTGATTGCGGTGATGGAGGATCAGATTCCGGGGCTGGGATCTATCCCGGATTTCAGGAGGATGTGTCTGAGGAGCTGTGGGGTTATTGAGAATTCCTATCACGTTTCTTCGGCGTGTGTAGTGCCGGATTATATCCACAGGCATGATTTCGTCGTATATTGGTTGCTCAGAGAGGTTTTGGCGGGGTCAGGGGCGCCTAAAGGAGTGCAGGAGAGCCTGAAGTTTGGATCTGCTACCCTCAATGTGAGTTATGACACGGAGAGGGGGGGAGGGCACATTCAGATCAGGGCTGGTGGGTATTGTGCGGTTGACGTGCAGTTGTACCACTATAAGCCTGATTTGGTGATAATAACATCGAACCCAAGGAAGGTTTATGTCATCGAGGTCTCCGTGGCGCACCTGCAGAACCTAGAGAATCAGGAAAAGGTCAAGAGAACGAGATATGAGACCAACTCCGAGGCACATGTCACCCCGGAGAATATGGGTGAGGTGCATAGGGGTGAGAACTTGGTGAACGTGCTGAAGCGTACGCACGGGTGTGACGTCGAGCTAGGGGTTCTGGTTCTGGGATGCTTCGGTGTGGTGGCAGAGACGGCGGAATTGGTGAGGGTGAAGGGAATTGTTGGACAGCTTGGCGTCTCGCAGAGGGGATGGGAGAACTGTTTGAGCAGGAGCTCTTACAGTGTAGCAACAGCGACGCCTAAAGTCGTCCTGAGAAGGTGCCATGAAGCTGGGGGGTGGATGCGGGCAGCGGGGGTTGGGAGGAGGGGGAGAGGTTGAGAGGTTGAGGGGGGCCATGACTTATTACTTCTGGGGGGGCTTCTAATGATGTTTGTAACTGAATAAAACCATGTAATATCTGAGATGGATTGTATCGGGTGCTGTGGAGGGTCCAGGTGGCCTACACAGTAACCTCAAACTGTATGTTTTATATGCAATGAAAATACTTACTACGACCAAGCCAGAATGTTGGCCAAATCTCAAGGGTATTTGGAAAGGAAATACCGAGAGGGTTTGGAGATTCAGAAAAACCCTAACAACCTCAACAGGGACAGAGGATATCAAGTGAACCCCATTTGGAAAACCGTCCTCCCGGTTTTTTAATTGACCAGCTGATTAATTGAAAACATGATTGTCTGACCATCCCCCCCTGCCCCTTCCCACACCACCACAAGGGAAGGCATATAAACACTACCCCTAGACATCGGAGCTCAGAATCGGAGCTCATAGCCCTGATGATGCAGAATGCAATGTTTGCGAAACGTCGGCGCAATGCTGAATCCAAACGCGGCATCCATCCGGAAGCCAAAGACGTCATTAATCATGGCCGCGAAAGCCTCGACCCTTATTACTTCGTTGAATTTATCGCGTATTGTGAGAAACCTTGTAATCATTTATATTTTAATATACTACTAAGTTAAGTCTATTGTGGTGTTCAAGAAAAAAAAACGTTGAAAAATAAGAGGCCAGTGAGAAACTTTGAATTAAAACTGAATGACCACACTCTTCTCTATTCAGTCGTTCAGCTTTATAGAAACCGGGGAGACTGATGGTAACAATGTGATGTAATTTCTATGCGATAATATAATATATAAATAAATATATTATAATACAGACATATCTGTTACTCGAGTACTGATCGGGTAATTGAGAGTTATTATATAGAAGAAGATTTAAATTGCTTCTGTTCTGAAATACAATGCTAGATTGAGAAATACATAATATAAATATGTGTCATCTTTGTAACTATATGTCAGTATGGATAGAATCCGATAAATTGGCATATCTTTCCGTGCCTTGTTCCCAAATAATTGTGTGTTGAATAAATTTATTTGATTGATGAGTGAGAACTTGTTAACTGATATTTTTTTGGCATAAGTGGAAGGGTTAAAAAACTCGAGGGTGGTCTCGAGGATCTCCTCCCCAAATCTTGAAACTTTGTCACCCTTAAGAAGACAGTGATGCACATTGCTGAGGATAGATTTCCTTAATTAATCAATGAATATTTGATAATTGACTTTTTTTCGGTTCTGTAAGATGACAAGACTCGGGGGTTGTCTTTGCAATGTCCTCTTAAATTTCCACAGTATTGTCACCCTTGGGAGGACTGATCAATTTTGCTAAAAATAAATTTCCTTAATTAATCAATGAATATTGGTTAATTTTTGTTTTCATTTCTGGGTGGTGAAAAAAATTTGAAAGTAGTCTCTGTGAAGTCCTCCCAAATCTCCAGTGTTGTAACCCTTGAGAGGATAGTTATCAACTTTACTGATGATAAATTTCATTAATTGATCAATTAATTTTCGTTAATTGCCTTTCATTATTTCTGAGAGGTGGAAAATTCAAAAGTGGTGTTTGGTGAGGAACTAGATTTGGGGTGGATTGGGAGGTTAGTGGATCGTCGGTGTGAAATAATTGTTGAGAGTCTTGAACTAATATCAACGTGCATTTATTCTCGAGTCGAACCACGCTTTGTCAAATTTACAAAACACCTTGTCACTTGTTGATCGTACTGAATTGAATTAATGGTCTATAGTTTTAGCACTGTGAGTCACTGGTTGAATGGTCAATAAATAACGTGATTTTCTTTTACTGAATTTCTATCGCTGAGTTAATAGACGCTAATGTACTGTGGTCTAAACTCTACAGAGTTGAATTCCATTCAAAACATGCTATACGACAGATCGTGATGTAGTGACTCGCGTTGATTTACGGTGACTCTACTAGACCTGAGCGTTGACCCGGAAAAGGCCGATGATTTTCGTAATTGGCCGAGCTGATCGACCTTGGTCTTGGAGAGGTTGAGTTACGTTTCAAACAAGTGGTCTTTGAAGCGTCCTCTCGAATTCCCCAAGTTTTGTCATCTTTGGGAGGACAGTTATTATTTTTACTGAAGATAAATTTGCTTAATTAATCAATTAATATTAGTTAATTTCCTTTTTTTTATTATTCTGGGAGGTGACAAAACTCGAGGTTCCAAAGTATTGTCCCCCTTGGGAGGACAGTGATCAACTTTGCTAAGGATAGATTGCTTGATTAATTAATGACTATTGTTTAATTGATTTTTTTAATTTCTTGGGGAGGGTGAAAAATTCAAAAGTAGTCTCTTCGATGACCTCTCAAATTCCCGAATTATTGTCATCTGTGGGAGGATAATTGTCATATTTACTGAAGAAAAATTTTGTAAATTAATCAATTGATATTTGTTAATTGACTTTTTTTTTTAATTTCTGTGGGGTGAAAATTTCAAAAGTGGTCTCTGGAATGTCCTCCGAAATTCTCAAAGTTTTGTCACTCTTGAGAAGACAGTTATCAACTGTGCTGGGGATAAATTCTTTCAATTAATTAATTAATATTGGCTGATTAATTTTTGGTTCATTCTTGGGGGGTGAGAAACCTCGAGGTTGATGTCTGAAGTATCCCCTCAAATTTCCGAATTATCACCCTTGGGCGGACAGTTATTATGTTCACTAAAGATAAATTTCCTTAATGAATCAATTAATTTTTATTAATTGAATTTTTTTATTTCTGGGGGGTGACAAAACTCGAGGGTGGTCTTTGGAATGTCCTCTCAAATTTCCAAAGTTTTGTCACCCTTGAGAGGATAGTTATCGCTTTAAAAAAACTGCACCCCCATTTGGAGCCATTACCATTAACTATTATAAATAAATGATTGGTTAAAATTTGTTTTCCTTTGCTACCCTCAAATAACTTAGTTTTGTCAAGTTTTGTCACCCTTTGTTAACCCTCTAATTAATTTTTTTCAATCCAAAACACGGTCGAGCATGAGAACCCCAGCTTTCCTATTCTTGGCTAACATATTCTCTGCTAGCTTCCACTCCATTAAAGAATCGGTCTATTTCATTCATCCTGGAACCGATCTTATTATAAATAGTAAAAAATTGGGGTTTTATGTCACCACATCTACCCCTACCCATTGCCTCATCTTCTAGGAATTCAGCTAGTACGTTGATGGTTTTATTATCAATATTTTTCAATTGATTATAATAATTTTTATCGCCAGACGAAGAACAAAGTTGTCGATTCGAGGGATATTAGCTTTGTCATATAGATTTTTGTTACTGACCTGATGATAAAAATTACTGTGGGCCGATCTGTACATGAACAGACAAGCCATCAGACAATTTCTCTCAAAAACTATGAGACGTTCCGTTTGGTGGACGCCCATGTTCCAGAGAATTTCTGACGCATATTTTAATAGAGGCCTTATAAGTAACATATAACAGATTACTCTGGCGCTCTTATTTATATGCTTATTGTGGAACAGAAATCCAAGAGATTTGAAACGCTTTGAGATTGAAAAAAAAATTTTCTCGCTTCATCTATCTGGATATCTGAATGATTTGAGCATCTCATGAGATAGTCGATGTTTACTCCTAGATACCTTACAATTTCTTTGTTCGGGATGATTGTTTCCTCATTATTATCTGGATTTTTAATTTTTATAATAAATTCTTTGATGCTAGCTTACTTTTTTCTAGAATAATGATCGACCGTATTTCGAAACAAAATTGTTTCACTTTTAGAGGGGTTGACTTCAAGGTTCCATCTGGAATACATCTCATTTGTTTATTAACAATGATATTTAGTTTATCAGCTACTTCCCTTCCATTATTGCCAGCCACATAAATGATCCTATCATCTGCATATGTATGTGAATAGATATTATTATTACTATTGAGCTCAAAGGAGTCTGTCATGTGTGCCGTAAATATGGAAAACATACCAGGGAAGTTAATTGTCCCCTGGTGTAAGCCTTCTGTTACTAAAAAAGTTGAACTCAACAACAAGTCATGATTAAAACTTTAAATTTCTTTTTACGTATCATATTCCAGATGGTCCTCACTAATGCCGTTGGGAATTTGTTTTTTAATAGCAATAAATTAAACCATTTATCCAAACGGAGTCGCACTAGGTCCAAAAGAACTGCTCCGACCATTTTATTTCTGAACAAGTTTCCACTGGCATCCGTTAATAATTTATTTACTGCGTGGAGAGTGGAGTGGTTATTCCTGAAGCCATATTGGTTATCAGGGATAACTTTGTTCTTCCTCTCATATGCAAGAATTGAATTATTGATAACCGCCTCATAAACTGTGCTCAAGGCAGGAGTCATACTGATCGGGCGATAACTTGCAGGATCAGTTAATATCTTTCCACTTTTATAAATTGGAATCATGATAGCAGCTTTCCAACTTTGAGGAAAATAATAGTTATTCAAAGAATTGTTAAATATCTTGGTAAGATCCACAATCACCACCTCAGGTAGGTGTCTCCATACTATTTGAGGGATTCTATGCACTCGAAATTTTATTTAGAAGGTATTTCAGAATTAGTTTTACTGTAATATAGTTCGTAAAGTAGTTTTGAATACAAGAATTATCGCCTGTGTTAGAGGCTTTATCATTTTGATTAAATGTTGTTACTGTAACATTACTATTAATATCTGACTCTATTTGTCTTTTAAAATTATGCATTTTATTATCTATTAATTCTTTCAATCTTGTGTTATTATTAAGATATCCAGGTGAATTGCCGGGTACTCTTCCAACTGAGCTACCGGGGTCTACGGAACTCTCCCTCTCCAATGCGCTTCAGAACACTGCCTAACCTCAATGGGCATATATGCAAATATATATAGAAATTTATATAGTGTGACGTATTTCGCACCTCTGCGGAACGGTACAAAAATACGCAGCCCTCGGCGACCAATCTTGAAACGAAAGTTACTCCACAAAGAAATCGCAAACAATAGCAACTCTAGAAAAGTGAGATCAATAACCTACAAAGAGAATGAAACCAAATTGTTGAGCAAAGAAAACACAATGTGTTTTACATCACTTCACTAGGTGAATAAAAGAAACTGACAGGTGAATCGAAAATACAGTGCAATCAGAGTTCACAAAAATTTCGCCGTCAGCAGTTTGCCGCTCACGGTCACCGCCCGGCGTACGATCAAATAGCTCAATCAGCATCAAAAGAATATAGGAATAACAGTGATAGATAAAGATTCAAAATTACAAATTTTAGGTTCTCAAAATTATTTCCAAATTGAATGTCGAGAATTTTTATAGGAAAATTAAAATTAAAATTAAAAATAATATAGACATAATGCAAGTTAATAAGTCAAATAATTGATGAAACATTTAATCACTTGAACTCAATGAATCTAAAAAAAATGGAATTGAGAACAACAGTGATGAAATGTTTCATCAGAAAGCCCCCATTTCTCAATATCAAAATTCGGACATGCAGGAAAGATTGAGAAACGATGAACCAAAAAACCCGCAAAACCGAGTAAACTACTTACCTGAAGACGATTGAAAAGTGGGAAAGATCATACAATACTTTCCATCAATTAAAAATTGACTCGTTGGAGCCCCACGAGTCGAGTGGTTCCAAAAACACTATAAAATCTCTGAAAAAATCACAATTAATCAGTTTTGAAGCAGCGACTGAGCAGTAGCAATTCTGGTGGAAATAGTTCACTTAATTGGTCCGGTTTTTTAATCCTCCCTCCGACAATAATTCACAGAATCGAAATTCCACTGGATAGTTGCCGAATTAATAGTAGCCTACGAACAATTGAAATTACCCGGGAATCAAATTTCTTCAACCAAGAGCGATGACTTTTCTTGCATTTAATTGAAATTATGGAGTCACCTAGGGATCTACAAACAAATTCGAATACTTTTAAAAATCAGACTGAACCATGAGTAGTAAACTTTTATGATAAAAAAACAACCAGATCCTTCAGATCATTCCAGGGGTAGAAAATTTCGAATCAATTCAGTTTTCAACTTATGACAATTACATTGTCAATTGTTGTCTTTCGGGTACATTTGAATTTAAAAATAAACACTAGGGAAAATTATATTAAACTTGAGTGTGGGGGGGGGGGAGCTCAAACTCC